ATTTAGATGCAAAAAAGAAATCTTAGTTAACTGCATTATTTTTAGCTGTCCCTACAATGTACTGATGATTTAAAAAGTACTGTACCAAGATTCACAAAATAGTCCCTTGGTACTCATGCACTCTTCTCTAGTTGGGTTTTAAATACTTGTTTTCAAATACCAGCCCTTTGCTCTGCACAGATAAAGCACTTTTTTTAGTATAATCTTGAGATCCACATTATTGGGATTCAGAAAGTGATACTCTTAACATGTTAAGCTGGACAAACAGGCTCAGAACCAAGGTCTCCTTGACCTCCCCCTGCCTTTTTCTTAATTCTTTTTAATCATTTTTCTCCCCAAGCTCATGGACAGGCTTTCCCTGAAGATACCATATTCAAAGGAAGCTCCCTTTCCAGAGAGAAAACAATTGTGATGAAATCTCACTGACCAGGAAGGACTAATACTGGGAGAAGGGACTGAAAGTTAAGCATCTAGAATTGAGAAATTTGACTGTTTCTGGTCCCTTCATTTTCCTAAAAATAATTTACTACCCCTCTAAAACCATCTAGACCCCCCTACTTCCCTTTCTCCTATGAAGACAGTTCTTAAGCTCCAACCATCTGGCCCTACTTCTGTTTTTTTTTTATTTTTTAAAGAAACAGAATCCCTACATTGCCTAAGCTCGTCTTCAGCATGTGGGGTCAAGTAATGCTCTTGCCTCAGCTTCTCAAGAAGCTGGGACTATTAGGTATATGCCACCATGCCCTGCTTTACCTGGCCTTTGAGTTTTAATTTTGTGTGGTTCCCACGCACAATTTATATGCCTTTTCTTCTGCCAATCTCTTATCAGTTTGTCTGGACAGACTCAATTATTGAACCTTCAGAATGCAAGTTTGAATTTCCTTGAAACATGAAAAATGCATTAAGCAAGATAGGCTATGTTAGCACAGCCAGGGACACAGCTGGAAACCTCATGCCAGGTCACAGTCAGCTATGTAGGGCAGGAATACTGTAGGAATCTGGTCAGGGACAGAGAGAAGAGCTGGGCTGTCACTCCGTCTAGCTGACTTGCAGACAGACTCTAAAAAGAAGTGACATACCAGGAACCGAGAACATCTGTGCAATAGGATGGTCTCAAGAGGTTGAAGTTGGTTTGGAGTGTGGACAATTTAGCAAGATCCTGTTTCAAAAAAAGCGGGGAGATGCTGGAGATGTAGCTCAATGCCAAGGTCCTGGGTTCAATCCCTATACCCACACCCAGAGTTTGGTTTAGTCTAGTCTGACTCATCAGCTTTCTTTTTTGTCTTTCTGAGACAGGGTCTCGCTATGCAGTTCAGGCTGGCCCTGAACCCCCAACGATCCTCCTGCCTCAGCCTCCTGAGTGCTGGGACTACAGTGTGTGCCACCATGCCCAGCTCTATGACTCATCATCTCTTCCTGGGAGGTATTTGTGAAAAATGAAGCTTGGTCTGCCTAAAGGCTGTTGATTATACTCTCTTGCCATTTCCCTGGAATTCAGTTGGGTTATATGAATGTACACTAGCACCCATGGGAGGTATGGGTATAAAGCAAAGTCCTGGAGCAGAAGGAGCCCCATGGGGGGGCGGGGTGGCACAGGGCAGCAATGGGGAGAAAGTCACCGAGGTCAATTACAAGTGGTGGAAGACCACAGCCGGTGATCCTGGACACATGCTGCAGCATACAGAACATCCTCCCTTTTCAAGTGCCTGGATCTGGGGGTCACCGCAGGAGGCCTCTCCCATTACTGCTGGAAATCAGGCCCATCCTAATGGCTGAAAGAAGATTGTGGCTCTTTATCAGAGGAATGTTTTCTTTCTGGGTTTGCAACAAAGGAATCAAAACTCCTAATACAGGTAAGAAACCTCCTACAGTCAGTAGCAGGTACTTGAGAAGGCAGAAAGTAGGAGTGAGAGGATCTCATGGGCTTGAGCACAGAAAGAAATTCATTACTTGAGGACGACCTTTCTACTGCAGGAATCACATTTGTACAGCACGTACTCTGGTGTTTAGGCTGCCTTTCTACTGGGGAGAAAAAAATGTGACACTGAACAGCTGCAGTTTCAGTCACATCAGACCTGAAAAGAAAAGGAACTACACTACTACCGGGCCAAGACACAAACTCTGGGGTGAGAGGAACTGGGGACTGAATGCATGGCCTTCGCACTGAGCTACATCCCTAGTCCTTTTTCATTTTTTAATTTTGAGATAGGGTCTTGCTAAATTTTCCAGGCTGTGCTTGAACTTGCAATCCTGCCTTAGCTTCCCTGTGCTGGTATTACAGATGTGTGCCACCATGCCTGGCTCCGAAGTGCAAGCTTTTAATAGGTTTGTAGAAGACCCTTGAGGTGACAACTGGTAAGGCAGGAGACAGCTGGTTCAAGTGAAAAGAGAAACCACAGTCCACTTGAAAGAGCTAAAGGATGAAACAAGAGACCACAGTGACCTGCATTCCTTGCACAGGATTGGCTACTGTTTATTTTGGAGGAGAGAGGTAAAGAGGAAGCACTAGGTTCTTTCCATACACGAAAGTTTCCAGGGTGGGCATGGCTTGCACTACCAACAGATGACAATCTGATTAGCAGTTTGGGGCACTGATCTGCAGATAGCCCCAATCATCTAAACTGCTCTCTTCGGAGGGATGGGTGTACATGCAGTGAAAAGGTTGTAAATGCCTGGAATACACCATGAGCTAAATGGCAAATAGGACATCTGAATTTCTGATTAACACTAACCTGACAAAAGGCACAGAGTCCACACTGCAAAGAGAAAAAAATGTTTTGCAAGGTGTTTGGACACTCTCTTGAAGGTAGCTAAAGTTTGACAAATTCTTCAGACTTATTTCTTTTTAGAACAAACTCAGTAATTTCTCCTTTGCAGTCCTACAATCTTTCCAAGAGCTTGACTCAATCGTAGGTTTCAAAGGAAAGTCTCAAAACTTCATTGAAGGCTCCCATTCCTTCAAGGGAAGCACCAAGAGGTGTCATTAATGTCCTCCACAGCACAGCAACACCTACCCAGTGGACAGAAGTGATGAAGAAAGCAGCAGTCCAGAGGGAAGCAGAAGGGATACGGCAGAACCATTTTCCACATCTATCGTCAGGTACCCATGGGCCCTGTTCTAGATATGGGAGAACCATTTTTCAGTGGAAGCTCTCAGTCTAATAGAAGTTTCAAGTAGTAGATCCAAGAAATGAACCTATTCTGCACATCAATAATTTTATTCTTTAGGACAATGGACAACTATTTCTAGAATATGCAAAGAAACAAATTCACACAGACCTGTGCTTTCGTGTTGTTTAGGTAAGTAATACAGCCTGAGCCAAATGATCAGTCTTTTGAAAATTCAAAAGTACTGAACTGAGTACTCAAATCTGAGCCGAGAAGGGAGTGAGGGCCCATCTATAATACTTCTTTGCCTGGAGGATGACTAAATATAAATAATTCATAGTTCCTGAGAGACCAATCATTACTAAACACTAGAGTGAGAAGCTGAAAATATACTAGTCTATTCAGTAAGGTAATCTAGAAATCCTGGATTCTATGTTGGGATCGTTTTGTGCTCTTTTGACAGGGTCTCACTGTGTGGCCCAGCCTAGCCCCAAACTCACAATCCTGCCTTCCTTCCCAGGTGCTGGGATTATAGGCATGCATGACCATGCCTGGTTTCAGGATTGGTTTTTGTCTATGGAATCTAGGAATCCTTTCAACCTCTAAATGCTCCAATTTTCTCCTGAAAGAAAGGGGGGCAAAAGGGATCCACTTCATAATGGAATTAGACTTAGTTATGTTGGTAACTCTACCTCCTTGGAAAACTGCAATGTCCATTTAACTCTCCTATTCTAGCCCCAAAAACTCAGCATATAAATGATTGCAATGTAGTCTCTATGAAGCAGTCATTTATATGCTGAGTTTTTGGGGCTAGAATAGGAGAGTTAAATGGACTCCCTATTTTTTTAATGCTACCAGGGAAACAATGAAAAGTATAATAAAAATAGAATATATCCTTCACAAAGTTAAGTTTGAGGAGGATAAGGATTTGCTAAATCCTTTTACCAGGGCTTTAAATTTAAGTCATTTCTGCAAACACTGGTCCCAAAACTGACAACAGGCTTGGTGGAGATGACAGTTCTAGACATGAGCATTTCCGATAGCCCCAGGTAAAAACTGTTTGTGTTTTGGTGGTTTTTGTTTGTGGGTGGAGAGGTGGTAAGGGAAGGGCTTGATTTTGACAGGTATCCTTTGCTACTTGGACTATGTGATTAAGATGTAAAGAATATAACTCCAAGCTCATGAGCTTTCATAATAAAATGACAGACATTTTGATTCTTATACAAAATTCAAGAGAATTAGCCATGTAATGCTAATTAGCCATTAGCAACTATTACCACATCTGAATTATAATCTTACAATTAGTTAAAAACACTTTGCAGTTAGAATTTGTTGGAGTTGACAGTGGTTTGGGTTCTTCTGTCCCTTAAAGGTCTAGTCATGACATGTCTATTTTTATTGCTGAAAGAGACCAAAAGGGTAGTTCTGGAAATATACACATAAAGTGCTTACACATATACATACATCTAGGATGCACTTGTTTCCTGTGGTCATAGGTGACTGTAGGGGAGAGAAAGGAAACCTGCAAGCACTCATTATTAAGAACAACACTTATATTAGCACTTTATAGCTGGACTGCTTAAAATTTGGTTTTATTACGTTTGCTACAAAGTAACAAAGAAGGTGTCAATATATGTAGCACCTCTGATCTTTTGGGTGCTATACAGGTGCATTCTCAATCAAGCTCTCTTTTTTTTTTTTTAAAAAAGGAAAGCTATTCAAATCAATTCATCAAGAAGACAAAACAATTTCTGACCTCTCAAGGTGTGTGAAACAATGAGAGGGGCCCCTCTCAAATAACAGCTGGCAGTTTCTCAGGGATCTGTGAAGCAAATGGTCACTCCAGTGGTGTGAGGTGATTCCTTCCAAAGTACTCAAGATCCACATCTGAATTCTGCACATGAGCAATTGATTTTTTGATCTGCAAAATTTTATTAAGCAATAGCTGGACAACTCTTACAATTTTAAATCAAGGAAAAAATAAGATTAAACCATCTCAATTATAAAAACAAAATATTTTAGACAAACCACATCATTGTGAATGCAAACCATGAATGCCTTCTAGAATACCTTCTGCACAATCGAATACACAAAATACATAGAAGAGAGGCAAATAAGGGAGAGATCATTGAAATGCAGTGTGGGAATCTTAACAGATCTTACTTGGAAAGTGAAACAAAGCAGAATGTTAAATTAAAAAAAAAAAACCAACGTTAGAGGAACTGAAGTACACAAAGAAGTGTACGCTGCTCCCAAGGTCTAGACAAGAACATGCTGGTGGTCTTGTATGGTCTGGGACCTGTGCAACTGCACTGCACACTTATGGGAGGGTAAAGAAAGAGAGAAGGGACCAAGAGATAGAGAGAGGTAGAAAAGAAGAAAAGAAAAAGTGCCAGTAGTAATAAACTAAAAAATTATGTCCAAATTTACAGTACCAAAATAATGCATTTATAAACAAATGCAAAAACAATACCCCTTTGGTAAATAATACAGTGCCTTTTTCACGCATAATCCATGCTTTTCTACAACACACAAAAAAAATTTTATCTACAATAAATGAGATCTTAGAATCCTACCCCTTCCTTTAAAAAAACTTGTAAACAGAAAGTACAGGTACAAGTAAAATTACAAGAAAATTGCACAAAGCCAAAGAAAATGGAAACAAAATAAGCCACAACCCTTCGGAGTTTAACAGCCAGAGATAAGGAAACACACAAATGGCGCAGAGTTCTGAGTTGTGTGTGCATACAAACTCCCAGGAACTCAAACGACATGTCTGACATGTTTTGTCTCAGCTAACTTTGTCTACAACCAGACAAGTAATCTGCAGTCCACAGGGACACTATGCATTCTTTTTTTCACAAGTTCCTTCAACCTTCTAAATTTGAAGGTAGTGTGCCACTTAAAACACACTATAGATTGCGCGTTCACCTATGTTTATACTCCTCTTTTCTTTCTGAATCCACTCTCAGGTTTTGAAGGCAAGTGGGCACGTATTTTGTCTGTTCTCAAGGATAGCCACTGAGTAGGGCACACTCATAGAGGACTCCTCTGTCTTGCCTAGAATCCATGTTTTTGCGTAATTTTCCAAGAACAAGCATGAATCCAAATGCATTTCTAAAGATATTATGTTAAGTGCACTGGTTTATATTCAGTAGACAGCTCATAGACTCAGGAAAAGAAATTCTCTATAAAAAGACAATGTTTTAAAACATACTTTACCCGCTTGTGAAGTGGGAAGAATAAAATTGTTCAATTCTGACTTCCTGGGCTACTGGGGCTGGAAAGGAGCTGAGAAGACTGTCCAGACATCTCTTATAATTTACTGATGAAGAGAGAAGTCTGACAGCCCCAGGGGTTTGTTACCCTCTAACCTTAGGGCAGAGCAGGCTCAATGCTGGGGTCTCCTGATCTTCTGTGATGATGACAGAATGAGAATTACATGTTTCTACATGTCTGTGTTGGGCACCTGATGTGGAAGCAACAGCTATGGATGAAAAATACCAACCTGCAAAAGTCTGTGATTTACACTGCCATTAGAGCTTTCAGAGTTTCTTGCTTCTTTGGTCCCAATTTTTCTCAGGATATACATTCACTGGGTGTTTTTGTGCACATATCCGTGACACCTTTGGTTTGATCAAGTTAGAGCTAAACAAATTCAAAATTCGTTTCTATGTCTGTTAATATACCGTTTCCCTCAAAAAGTCTTTACATAATCAACTTTTTACTGGACTAGTGTTTTTAAATTTAGGAAGTCAATGAGGTATCTTGACATTTATAAATTGGTATTAATAAACATGATGTACTTAAAATTCTGCTAAAGTCCTAACTTTAGTAGTATTTAATCAACTGAGACTGACTGAAAGGAATTTTTAAAGCAAGCACAACTACTACCTTAACTTAAAAGACACCATATCGCAACTGCTGCAGCCACAGCTTCTGCCTGGCCTGCCAGGTAAGACTCTTTCCTCCTCGGTCTGGGCGGGTGGAGTGTGCTGGCAGCTGCTGCAGGGACAGATGTGCCTGTGAGGAAAGTCTTTTGGGGACTGATTTCCCCTGTATTTGTTCTTATAAAGAGAAGTTCTAAAATGTACTCTTTGGTGGTCTTTATAGCTCAAAAACTATTCAGAACTAAGAAACTGAAGCTTATTTCTTAATAGTTCCTTCCTTCACTACTCTTACCTAACAGCTCTCCCTTTCTCATTTCCTATTACCCTTTATTTTTTATTAAAAACATTTTTCAAAGTAAGGGGAAATATTATTTTAGGGTATGCTATCTCAAAGAAATATTCTCCTTTGCTTACAATCAATTTCACAAAATTAAAAAGAATTACTTTTAAAGGATTAACAGGATTTTCCCAATTAGAAAGTTACAAATTATAAAGCAAAAACAACTTATCATATCCTCTTTATTTCTTGCAGCAAAATATACTGCTACCAAATAAGGCAGAACAGAGGTACTATTTTTCTAAATAAATAATAAAATGGGTTTAACTCACCAATACATAGTAACAAAATAATTCCTAAGAATACTATGAAAAGCAAGATAAATAATCATCTCTTGGACAACAAAACAGGGAAATCACATTTAAATTATTTCCAAAACAGGCTATAACTTATTGCACAACTAATAAGCACTGAGACACCGTATCAAGTCATATAAGAATGAATCAGATAATTTTGAATATACTGCTAATTTCTGAAAGAATTTATTCACTGTAAAAATCAACTTTCTCACTGTGGACACACAAAACTCAACATTTACAATGTAAAGGAGGAGAGGTTTAATCTGCTCACAGTTTCAGTCCATGATGGGCCAGCTCCCAAGGTAAAGATCTCATAGCAGAAGGGTATGGCACAGTAAAGCTGTTTAATTCTTAGAAAGAGCAAGGAAAAAGTGCCAGAGAGAAAGGGGCAAGGACTACACATAGACCCCAAGGCTATGCCTTTATGACCCACCCAGACACACCTAGAAATGTGCTCCACCAATCTCTGGGGATCCCAAAGCCAATCAAGCTGCAACTCCACCCTAACTGCCACATCCACCGAAGAACTGGGTCCAATACTTTTCATTATAAAATGGAAAACTCCAGCATTAGCTGGGATATAGCCTCCACCATATTTAGAAAACTTGTCATTATAGCCGTGACAGCAGGCTAGATAGAATGCAGTCTGTATTTTCTTCAAAGGCCCTTGTTCGGAAAGAATGGAAAGTAGTGTCATTTTGCTCTGAGAAAAGAATGGGTCACTTTCTTTCCTAATTTTTAAACCATATATAGGAAGTTAAAAGTTCAAGACAAAACTTAACCAATTGCCCTAAGTTTAATAATTTTAACAATGTTTTCCCAGTGGTTTATTTCCTCAGTAAACAGTCTAGACAGTTAATAAACAGCTCTTTTTTTCTTAGAGTATGGTACTTCTGTCAAAGATTTGACCATACAGCTATATTTTAATACCTGATAAATGCTAAAAATTTGGGGGGTTACATTTCTTGATGGAAAACATTTCTAATCATTTGAATTTTAATGTAACCAACAGGAGGAAAGGAGTGGTTTTGATACAAGTCAGACCCCCACTTTGAGAAAGGATAGAACAATGATACCAAATGGGAAAGATCACATTTACAATAATGTATTCCAGATTAAAGAATAAATGAGATAAAAAGAATTGTGGCTGTTTCTCAGTAAGCGGGGGATCTAGCTGACTGACTACCACACTATCTGAGAAAATCCCCAGACTTACCCTAGGCTGGGATCTTTCTATTATTGTGCCCTACCTTCTAAAGTTGATCTTACTGAATAATCATCATTGATCCTATGAAACACGGACATATGATGAAAGTAGTAGAGTCTTCCAACATGAACATCTTTGAAAGAGGAGTGTGGCCCTTGTACAAGTCATACCATTGAATCACCCAGGTGTCTGCAGTGCCTGTATACAACTCCTCACTCATCAGCCCTTCCCAGACACCACTGATGACCAAATCACATTTATCCTGATGACAGCACCCCTATACAGAGCCTACTTTCATTAGTTGAACACACTGCATTTGCACAACGGCCCTTCATTCATCAAATCACCTTTTGGAGGTAGCAAAAAGTATGTGAATTAAACGCTGCCCTCCTCAAGAGAACCTGAATCTTTGGGCTTTGGTTGTTTTTCTTTTGTACTAGTGATAATAAAGACAAGATGTCGTGGAGAATGTACATTAATGCATACTCCTCCTAAAAGAATAGCAGGCTAGAAGGCAGTCTGTCTCCTCTCCAAAGGCCCTTGTCCTGGTTGCTGAGAAGCAAACTCAGCAGAACATTCGACAGCCAAGATACATTTCATGAAAGAACAACAGGCACTAGACACCCTTGGCTTCTAAACGCCATTCTACTGAAAGAAGAAAAGAAAGACAGACCATAAGGATAATCAAATAAACAACCACGCCTAATGGTCAGTGCGCATTTTCTTGGCCTCATGGGCTCATCCAGTTGCAATGCTGTCTCTGGTCTTCCTGGGCATCTGGCCACATGGATTCTTCTCCAAAGGTTCCTTGGCATCTCCTCCCATGCCAGTCTCTTCATTTGAGGCGCTGAGTCACATTGGCCAGGGCAACTGCAAAGGCCTGCACAGCTGAGAAGGGGTACTGGAAGTCTAGAATGTACGCATTGTCGTCAATCCGCCCAAACTGCATCACCTGGTGGTGGTGGTGGGAGGTGAGGAACAAAGTATAAGAGGAAAACAGATGGGAAATAGGTCACCAGACCTGCCAGCTCCTGTTGGAAGCAGACAGCACAATCGGGGAGATAGTTTTGCTAACAAAAAGAATCTGATCAAGCTTCTAATCTAACAACGCTGTAGGAAATGACAGAGGAACCTGTGACACAATGAAAGCGGAGGCAATAAACAGAATGCAGGGAACTCTACAGGGCAATGAAGTGGGTTCTTCATAAAGGATAGAGAGAAGAAGAGGAGGTGAATTCACATGCTAAAAGGCTTCCGAGAAGTACCAAGTGAAACTGTACACTGTTTCTGCTCAAAGAGGGGCCCCCACCAACCCCTTGCCAGGATATCACAACCTCCTTCCCACCAGCTCCTGTCCTCACCCTGCCGCACTTGTGACCTTGCTACTTCCTGTAGCCATCGGATATGAGGTTACTACATTATGCTGTAGGGTATACACTGATTCATTTGTGCTCTTTCTCCCACTTTGGAAAGTCCATCATGGCAGTGACAGCCTTGTTTTACTCACTGCTGTAATTTCACACTTAGAGCAGGGGTTGGGAAGTTTTCTACATGTATCGTTTTCATTGTTTTTGTGCTGTTTTGATTTTATCTTCATTGTTGTTTTGTTAGTTTTTTTAATTTAAAAATTAAAAAATAGTGAATATTTTAAATAAATATTATAATAAAACTTTCAGGTCACATAGTCTTTGCCATACCCACTCAACTCTTAATATCAGATCAAAGTAGCTCTAGACAATATACTTGAGTGAGTGAGCAGGGCCGCATTTCAAAAAAAAAATTTGTCCCAATAGAAGCAACAGGCCAAACTGAGCCATGGGCCACAGTTTTTGCCCACTGCTGACTTAGAAGACTGCCAGGTACAGAGCAAATACTTGATAAATGTTGATGAGTGAACTAATTGAAATGTGAATTAAAAAATGAGAGGAGAACGGAATTTCTAGCACAGTAAAGAGGGAAGTTATGCAGCAGGGTTAAACAGCTATGCAGGCTGGAGTAGGGAGAACTGATAACTCACCCACTATGCACACCTGTATCCATAGAAGACTTACCTTCTGTCAGACAGCTGGGGGAACGACTTAGTAATGAGTGCACAGAAGTAAGCAACAAGCAAACAAAAACTAAGAAATTAATGTCTAGGAAAAACAGCCATACTAACTAAACTGTCATACAAAGCTCAGCTCAGCTGTGAATCCTACCTACTGGCATAACAAAATCACCAATGAAGACTGCTTTAACTAGGGAAAGGTGGGGGCAGAGTTCACGGGTTTGTATGTGTAGAGATAGAGCGGGAGGAAGGAAGCTAACATTTCTCAGAAAAAAGCAGTGCACAGCTGAGCGAGGGTACTGAAGTCTAGAATGTATGAACTGCTGTCAATTCTTTCAGACAGCATCACCTGATGGGAGGGGGTGGAGGACAACAAAGACACAAAAAGAAAACAAGGTAGGAAAAGAGGCAACCAGACCTGCTGGCCCCCGATAGAAGCAGACAGCACAACCTATGAGACACTTCCTTAGGAAGAAGGCAATATATGATGCCTCTGGTGGAAATATCAGTAAGTAGGAGTATAAACATGTTCTTTGCACATCTGATAAGGTTTTTTTGGACCAGAAAAACACCAAAGGCTGGCAAGCTCCTGCCTCTGAGAGAGCACATGCCATGAGGTGTGGAATGAGTTTTCTTTACAAATCTTATATATGGAGTGAGAGATAAAATACATAGAAGACTATAATGGGTACATTATAGACCCAAATGGCTCCACCCAGGAGATACTTGCTGTTTTCCTTTCTTGCTTGGCCTTTTAACATGTGCTCCCAGGGAGCCTAAGCACTGACATCCTTTACCCAGTGGCCACAGTGCTGCAAATTCCTTACCTGCCGCCCTTCCAACTCGATCTGGAAGTTCTTGGTTGATTCCTGCGTCACCCGCCCTCCAAAATCCAGTTGGTACACCTGCGTGGCCTCATTCCACAGAGGCTGCTTGTTAGCCATCACATACACAAATCCCTGGCTACCCAGACGCCCATCCTCTTTCTCGCTGGCTTTGCGGCACTTGAACTCCTCCAGCTCACTGGCTGTCCGCAGGCTTCTCTTACTCTTCCACCCCTTCTTGCTGCCCTGGTTCTGGTTCATTAGCTCATCCCCACTAATAAATAGCTCAGGCTCACTCTCTGAGCTGTCCTGGAATTCGTTTGTTTTGTTCAACTTCTTTGATTTTAGTTGGTCTTTCTGACTCTTCACTTTCTTTTTCTCTCTTCCTAGGCGAGGACTGGAGATGAGAGAATTAAAGTCAGTCAAAGTCCTAGCCTCCTTCTTTACTTTGCCCTCAGTGATGGCCTGAACATTTCCTTCCTCTGCTCGGCTATCCAGGCGCTTTCGGTTCTTCTTTCCAAATTTTTCTGTCCGCTGGGGGACTGGGCTTTCCGTCAGGGAGAGGACTTCTTGGAAATTGTCCGTGGTCTCTACCATCACCTCAGTGCCCATGTGGCTTTGGAGGTCAGCTGGCGGTGGGGACACAAGGGGCTTCTCCACCACCAAGTGGGGCTTGGGTGGGAGAGTGCCCTGGGGGTTCTGCATGGGTGGGCAGGTGCTGTAGGAACTCCATGGGTGCAAGGCGATAGGTGGCAGCTGTAAACTGGAGCATGTGCTGCTTCCTGGGTACATGGGGGGCAAGGTGCAGTAGGAGAGGCTGGGTGGGTATGCTGGCTGAAGGACAACGGCAGACTCCTGCTGTGCAAACTGTGTTGGGGACAGGGCATCTTTGGGGGAGCAGGGAGCCTGAACTCCAGGCAAGGGGGGGTTGTTATAGCTTCCTGGATATGGTACTCCCATCCCATAGCCTGTCTGATAAGTGGCAGTAGGGCTGGTGGGAGACTTGGGGGAGACAAAAGGTACCCGGGCCACATCCAGGTGCTGGCTCTGCCCTAGAATCAGAGGGGGCAGTTTCAAAGGGTTGGGCACTGCAGGCTGTGCTGTCCTTTCCTGGGGAACCCAAACGTCCTCACCCAACACAGGATCCCACTGGTAAGGGGGAGGTCGCTTCATGGTGACAGCAGCTTCGGGCAGCATGGGGTGCCTCAAGGGCTTCTCAAGCTGACAGTGCTGGGACAGAGCTTCATCTTCTGTGAAGGCTGAGTTTACATAGTCAGTACGGTCACGGGTGCTGTCAGGTGGGCTCAGGAGATTGTAGGAGGACTGGGAAGCCAGCGGGGAGGTGCTGACAGCATGGGCCAGGATGGCCCCCGACTGTGGGCTAGGCCCTGCACCACTACACTGGCTGCAAGTGTAGAGGGTTGGTGGAGGTCGTGCTGGAAGCTGTGCCACAGCGCCACCAGAGCCACCTTTGGGCTTGACCAGGGGCTGTAGTGGGGCCCGGGAGCTGTCAGACAGCTGGGCCATTTTGAGGGCAACCTCACGGTTGTTCCTCCGAAGGGTGGCATGGATGAGGCTGCTATCCAGTCTCTGGACAGTGCCCCGCCCCTGGGCCAGCTGGCTAGCAATCTCAGGATATGGAGGTGGGTCTCCTGTGGGGATGGAGTAGCGAGGGACAGTCAGGCGGTTCAAGGTAGCACTGGTGCAGGGCTGGGAGACCTTCTTCTCCGTGGCTGTAAGCCTCAAGGTGGCTGAGCTACCTGGGCCAGGAAGCGTATAGGTGTTCTGGGAGCAGAGCATCCGAGTACGAGGCCGGCACACCTCCTCCACATTGCCGCTGCTATCGAAGGTGGTGATCCTCTCGTACCCTAGCGGGGGCTGGTAATGTGCTGATGTGGGGTAGAGGGAGAAGTCGCCCTTCTTCAAGCACACATCCACTGGGGGCTGAGGTGGTGGCAGAGGGGGTGGGGGTGCAGCTGTGGTTGGGGCAGCAGGGATGGTTCCTGGGTAGGGGGGTGGGGGGTTCATTTTTGTCACCTGGACCTCTTGGGGGGCAGTGAAGACTACCGCGTCCCCCTCAGCTGCTAGCTGAGGCACTGGCCGCAGGGCCTTGGCTGACTTCTGCAGGTGCTCATGGTCTCGGTCTCCATGGTCCACCATAGCCAGCTGCATGACCCCCTGTGGTGGTGGTGGTGGTAATGGTAGTGGTGGTGGCGGCGGCGGCGGTGGTGGTGGTGGCGGCGGCGGTGGCGGTGGCAAGGGCAACTGAGGAGGGTTCTGAATGATGCGGCCCATTTCCATACCTCCAAAAATCACCTGTCCAGGGTTTGAGTACCGGTTGGGGACTGGGTACTGAGTCACACTGTCACCTATATGTTCTGATGCTCCCACAGCTGTCGTCTGATTGGTCAGGACATCTAGCTGCACATTCTGATTGGCCAGCAGGGACTGCACCAGCCCTATATTCTGTGTTGGGGAAAGAGCCTGAGCCGAGCTGTGGATCGGTGCAATAGGGATGTTCACAGTACAAGGTGGATTATTCTCAGGGACACCAGATGCTCCTGTTACTGGAAAGAAATTAGAAAAAGGAGTTACTTACAAAATAGTGTCATGAGACTGGGTATAAGCATTAGATGTGGACTCATTCTTTGCATGCAGAATGCAATTGTTAGACACTGAGTGTGTTTGCTTAGAGAAATGTGTACCACTCACAAACCTTCTCTAGTATTCCTAGGAAGATACACAGGAAATTGGGGCAGGGGGGTCTTCTGGGTAGCCTGCCCACTATCTGTAGGCCAAAAGCATTGTCAGAGTTTTTTCAATGGCTATGCCTGAATGTGGATTTGTACCTGAACGGTATCAGCACAAGTAATTAATAACTTTTTTTTACTGATGATACTTAATGGTAGCCCACCCTTTTATGCAAGAAAAGGACAACAGTACAACATAGGACTCCACTCAGGACTCAGTGTTTAAGCTTCCAAGCAGGTTTATCTATAATTATGGATTGGCTGGCATAGAAAGTGACACACAACAGATGTGTATCTGAAATCTGTACACACATTCAGTTTCTATAAGTAGAATCATGTAAAATATGGTAGAAAAACAGTAAGAAGAATCCTCCAGCAAATATGCATATTAGGTAAAGGACTACTTCCTAATTTATTTGCTTTACAGCATTTTGAACACTATGGAGCGCCATGCTGAATGAAACCCTATAAATACTCCCTAAGGGTGGGAATCTCATGGAACATACATATGAACAGTTACCTGCAAATAGATGCTTCAGAGTTGTTGTCTGGCGAAAGTGCCCACCAAGCATCCTGCCAGTTTTGCTCCTTTAGACCCACTGAACCACTGTGGCTCCTGTTCAGACAACACTGCCAGAAGCCTGAAGCCTAGTGCTAATAGTCACATAGTAACTAGAAGTTGGACAGGAAACAGGATCTAACAGGCTGGCTGACCTAATACCAGAAAGGCAGAATGTAGCCAGCTGACCTAACAAAAGTCAAGCCCACAAGCCAGTCATGGTGGTACACATCTGTAATCCCAAATATTCAGGAGGCTAAGGAAAGACCACAAGTTCAAGAGGCTACCCTGGGAAATTTAGCAAGACTTTGTCTCAAGATAAAAAGGGCTAAAGGTGTGACTCAGTGGATGAGCATCCCTGGGTTTAATTAATGGTAATACATTAAAAAAAAAAAAAAAAAAAAAGGCAAGCCTGCCCTTGGAGTCTATAACTCTCTCCCATTCCTGGGGCTCTAATGAGACACAAATTACTCTCTTGTTGCACTAACGTGGGTCCCATCTCAAGTTTCCTATCATTCTTGTTCAGATCCCTTTTCCTGATGTTCTCTGACCTGTAGGGAACACTTAACAGCAGCCACCTTTCACTCCAAAAGAGAAGTATCGTTATTGAGCCACCATCATTGAATATAAGCCCTAAGACAGTATATTCTCTCCTCTCACTGGAACCAGAGATAGCAAAGAAAACTATAGGAGCAACTAAATACTTTAGAGGCCTCTATTTGCTGTATTTGGGGAGAACAGGAGGGTGCTAAGGGAAAGTTTAAAAGACACTTCTCAATCTAAGAGCAGAGGATGTGCTATGAGGCTCAAGTCCATGAGGTTTCATCAAATTGAAGATACTGATGTTGGAAATGGAGAATCTGTATCTATGAAAGTACAGGTGGACTTAGAAAAGCAAATGTTGGAAGTACCCTAGCATAACTGAGAACAGTTACATATAACTAATTTGATAGACTAGAAACCACTCTGATCTATTAATCAACGTAGGATCTTTTAAGGATCTTCCCATCATAAAACAAACTAACAAGATTACATAAATACTTGACAATCTGTAAAACTGGAATTTAAAAACTGTACCAGATGCACCTCTAACTCAGGCTGGCCCTTTAAACAGAGTAGTGCTACACAGTCTTTTGTCCTGGAGATGGGACAGGTTTGAGACACAGGGCTCTGTGGGTATCATAAGCATACTCTCTATCTGAGGGTGAAAGGACAGAGTCTGGCCAAGACCCCCAGATGGGTTTCAGGTTTTTTGGTTTTTGTTTTTTTTGTCTTTTTGAGACAGGGTCTCACCATGCAGTTCAGGCTGGTCTTGAACTCACTTTGTAGCCCAGGCTGGCCTTGAACTCACAATGATCCTTCTGCCTCAGCCTGCCAAATGCTGGGATTATAGGCATGCATCACTACACCTGGCTGGGTTTCAGTTCTGATCTCAGTTCTGCTAACTTACCTTTATCTGGCAAATGACTAAGAGGGTTACTGGGAAGACAAAGGCAGATGGGAGAAAAATATGAGACCACTGCCACTTTAAGGAGCCATGCTCTGACAGCTTCATGCCTCCTCAGACAGGTACCCATCTATGGTCTTCCTGCTGGGACATGACACTCCATCTACCAGCCTTACCAAGCTGAGTATGCCTTTTCAGACTAAGGTGGCAGGCCATACTCTGCAGTGACTTACCACTCTTCCCTCCTTGCATAATCCACTAAGAGGGACCATGATACACAAGTCCATGAATGTGGACACACCTGGTAAATCATCTTCATCTTCACTGAAAACATTTGGGTTGAAGACAGGTAAGTTAATATAGTCCATGGAAATCTTTCGAACTTCTGGGAGATAGATGGTCATCTGCCGTGGCTGGAGATGCAGCAGGCTGGTTTTATAGATCACTGTGGGGGGGAAGGACACAGTTAATAGAGACATGGTGGAGGAGGGCCACAGCACAAGTGGGGTCCTAGGAAGAGGAATAAAGGGCTGTGTTCTCTGCCATAAGAAGACAAATCTGCACAGGCAGAGCCAAGAGCCCAATAAACTCTTCATCTCTCCTGGTTTACACACAGCCATACAGGGCGTGGTTTAACACTCAGCAACGGTAAATAGTTGGTGTAGCTGGGCTACTCTGCCAATAGTCTGTTTATAGAACCAAGAATTTTTTTGTTTTGTTTTGTTTTTTGAGACAGGGTCTTTCAGGTTGATTTTAAACTCACTTTGTAGCCCAGGCTGGCCTTGAACTCACAGCAATCCTCCTGCCTCAACCTCCTGAGTGCTGGGATTACAGTCATGAGCCACCACGCCTGGCTAGAACCAAGAATTTTGAATGTCAAAATCTTAAGGGTTAAATCCATTGGAGGGGTAATGAGCTGGGGTAGGAAAAAATATTTTTAAAAAACTTCATCTACGGAAGAAAAATTTAGTGAAAACAGCGGTAATCAGAGTGCCATGCTTAGGAAACACTGGGCAATTAAGGAGCTATTTGAAAGCAAAAGGTAGGGGACAGGTGACAAGCATCACACAGGAATGGAATGTCATCATTTGGGACTGGATTCTTGCCTTACTGTCTTTCCACTTTAACATAATGGTCATGATAGAGATTTTTTTCTTTCTTTTTTTTTTTTTTTTAGTCTTTTTGAGACAGGGTCTCGTTATGCAGGTTCAGGCTGGCCTTGAGCTCACTTTGACAGAGATTTATATAGGATTTCCACAGAGCTTTTTTTTTTTAACTTTAAGATTTAATTACATTAACAAGAATATTTAAGAGAAAGCCCAGACTGCAACTAAATATTTAGAGAGAAAATAAATTAAAAAATAACAAATCTAGACTGAAGTTTTACACAAGAGGTTAAAATTAAGGTGAAAGGCCCTGTCAACTCTCTTTTATGTTTAATTGCATCTCCTGTGATATGTAGAAACAAAGGTTCTTTACAGCTGAATTTTTGATGGTAAGCCACATCCCATCTCCACAGTTAGTCCTTGAATATCTCAGGCCCAACTAGCAGGCACTGCTTTGGCAGAGCTGCTGCTTTGCTGAGGCCTCCATGCAAGGCTAGTGCCGGGACTGGTGGCTAAGGTGACTTTTCTACCCAACAGAAATGGTTTTACCCCTGTTTTCATCTCTCTGTCCTCAAAAGAAAGACAATATAAATTTTGGTGGGAAAACTGTAAATGGTTCTATATGGCTTAATATTCCACGTGTTAAAGTGCTACTCTTTGTTGTTCAAATAGAGAAAGAACAATACAATTAAAAAAAAAACAAACCCTGAGGAGGGATTAGAAGAACATCATCAGTTGCCTCCAGGGAAAAAAAGTTGGTGACTGGGGTGATGATCAGAGAGATTTTTATTATACACTCCTTTGAATTTTCTAAATTTTGAATCTATTATATATTTTTAAAATTAAAAAATGCAAAAATTAAAAATAAAAAATTTCATGGGCCAGATATTCTCACTGAAGGAAATAAATTATCCAACGTAGGGAACAACACTCACTTTTTAAATCCCACTAGAGTAGAGCAGTATATATTGTTTTTTAAAACATTTAATGGGGTACCATGTATATAATATACCTTCTAGAATCAGAGTTAATTCCTTTTCTCTAGTAGAATTAAGTGGAAAGTTCTTTTAACTTAATAACTGTACGTAACCAAATACAGTGCCTGCCTGGCAAGCACAAGGTGCTGAGTTCAATTCCCAGTACCCTCCCCAATAAGTAAAAAAAATAAAAAGGTCATTGATGAGGACAATGATTTTAACACTCATAGAGTAAGCTTTTATCTTAGGCTCTCCACTGAGTCATCTGGAGCAGTAGGTCCTCAGAGGCACTCAGAGGCTCTCTCATTTTAAGGTCCTTGTTAGTTTATTTGTGGATCTATTCATATAAGAAATAAGGGTAGAATGAAAAGATCCATTAAATAAATTCACACCTCTATTCCTTTTTTCAGTATTTACTAAAGGTAGATGGCTAAGTTCTCAGATTACTGATTTGGGGGTAATAATGATATTCAAGCAATGTTTATTAAAAATCAACCATATCTGTCAATAGGGCACTGATGAATACCTGAACAAACTTCTGTGGTCACTAGAGAGTTTCCAGGTTGATGAAAACATTATAAGTTTTCTTTGCTTTACACACAGGGATGGTATACTGTTATTTCCAAGTCAGTTTTATGTTTTACTTTTATTCTTCTTTTTCTTTGAGCTGAGAAACCTCAAAATGAAAAATCCAAATGAGTGCTCTTTAATAACTCTCTGAAGATGCACACATAGCAACAGGCCTTTTAAAAAACATCTGATTTGCAAGAATTTAAAGCATCTGTGTACAAAACAATTCTTACAGACAGATTTAGAACTTTTCAAAAATAATTGTAGGCTACCTCGAACATATCTGAGATCAAGGGCCACAGCCCTACTTGGTCTCACGGAGGATGTGTACAATGGGAAACAAGCAGGCCACTAAGGAAGATGGGAGTAAGAATATAACTCCTTAGTCCAAAAAGGGATCTACCCAGTAGGAAGAAGTTGCTTTGAAAAGGATCTCTTGCATTTTCATTTCTACCTCAGAGGTAGCTGTGACAAGTGATCATTACTCATCTGGAATGCAGGTGAGAACCCAAGTGTGGGTTCTGAGCCAGGTCTGTCCTCCCTTGGTTTACTTTTTATCTCTGTCTCACACTCTTCATGGATAGAATGTTTATTCTGGTTAGTGTAAGACCAGAATGAACTGAGAAATGAAATTTATAAATATTTACCACTAAGAACTATACTGTAAACAGCCAACTTCTTGTAGTCTTTAATCATTTTTTTCATCTACTTTTTTTAGAAATTTCTTGTGATTCAAGGTCTCAGACTGTATCAAAATCTGCCCATAGAGACCAAAAGATTTGGAAATCTTTGAGAGTTCAGATACAGGTTTTGGATATTTCTGTTCCTTTTGTACTTCTATTAGTTTTTATAAGTCAAGGATTATCTTTTTAAAAAAATACTATAATGCCAGTGTTAAAAGCCAATTTGAGTGATAATTCTAATTTTTCCAAAATCATGCTGGCTGGAGTCAAGGTCTGGAGCAACTTACACACTCATCACTCACCTGGCTAATCTGTACTGTTTGAAGAGCTCATTTTCTAATTTAAGCTGACAAAGGTTGAGACTTGGTTTTTGGATCTGATCTCTAACAGGAATGGTGAGAAAAGAGAATGGGTTTTTTTACCTGCACCGAGGTTGGTTGGCAGGAAAGCAGCCAAGCCCACAATCTTAAATTTGGTTCCCCAGATATTGGACGTAACCTGAGCAAGATAGTTGTGCTGTGGGGGAGAAATATGAAAAGAAAAATGAAGACTCTTAGTCTACTTCCACATTCCAGGATATATTTCCATTGGTCAACTGTAAAAATGTTACCATTTATTGCTTTAAAAGTCACAAGTATGAGCTGGATAGGGTGGTGCATGCCTATAACCCCTACACTTTAGGAGGCTGAGGCGGGAGGATTACAAATTCAAGCTCAGCCTGGCCAATTCAGTGAGACCCTGTCTAGAAAAAAAAGCTGGGGATGTAGCTCAGTGTGAAGGCCCTGGCTCCTTCCTTCCTTCCTATCTATTTGTCTATCTAATCTGTCCTTCTATCTATCTTCATTCCTTCCATAATTTTGTCATTTTTAAAGACCAAATGCTAACGGGAGCATGCTGAGTTCCCATTTTCTAGTGGTGGTACACTGAGCTAGTAGTGAGTGCTTTCCCAGTATGTCCGTAAGTATGCGTTTAAAAAGGCCACTAAAGCTAGGTGAGGTAGCACACACCTGTAGCCCCAGTTACTCAGGAAGCTGAGTCCAGAGGATGGCTTGAGCCCAGGAGTTGGAGGTTAGCCTGGACAATATACTGAGATCCTATTTAAAAAATAAGTAAGTAAATAAAAAACTTTTTTAATAGTCCACCAAAGTGACTTGGGTACGTTTTTGTTTGCCTCCCTTTTCCCCTAATCACTGAACTAGTGAGAAAATCTTAAACCCGCATCTACTTATACTCTTATGTTTTCCCTGGAAAGAGCTACACTGGTATGATTTTTGTCCTTACACTACCAAATTACCTTTTTTCCCATTCAGATAAAACACCTTTCAAAATGTTATCATTATGCACAAGCATGAGTACATGTATAGGAGCAAAAATACAGATGAACAAATCTACTTCCTCAAGAAGCTTATGACTTAATGAGGAGAGAGGGCTCACAGAGACTTTTATAGTGTCCCTGAGAGATGTCAGAGGTAGTTAGACATCTGATGTCCCATGCACTATGCCTGAGCAAGTACAGGAAGACTTCATGACAGAGGTGGCATTGGAGTTCAGTCTGGAAGTGGGGGCTAAAACAAGGAGAAGGAGATGGAGTGGGTGGCTTAGGCAGGACTGGACTGAGGGGCCTATGACTGGGGCTCTCTCCCTAGAAACTGGGGAATCATTGTAGGACTAGAATTGGCTTCACAGTAGCAAGGCAGAAAAGTGCAGAAGTATCTCAGCCAGAGCTCTACTGGAGGAAGATTCCTGTAGCAGAGAGGCACATGGAGCACAGCCAGGTGGCCTGTGTGCAGGTATGGCAGTGAGTGGGGCAGACAAGTTGGGAAGGAAGGCAGTACATTCAGGTGGCCTGAGGGTTCAATCAAATCAGGCCAGCACTGACAGACATTCTACTACCTGAGTGATGTCTTCAAAAGGAAATTCTCTCCGCATCAGACTGGGCGAGCCAATGGAGGGCTTGCGTATGGGCAACCGGGGGGATCGGGAGATCTCCTGGGAAGCCCGGGGCAGCTTGGGAGACTTCCGGGCTTCAATGCTAATCCTGTGGAGACAACATCAGCAAGAGTCAGGCACCCACAGAGTGGGCAGGGCTGGACCCAGCACTCCGCTTCCCTGTCTAGACAGTCTGACGTGGATGTCGATTTTCAGTGGCCAGAGCCCTAATTTCACAAAGCTCTTACTCCTGTACTTTTATGAACATGAATAAAGAATAACAACTGTATTCTGAATAACATATAAAATATTTAAAAATATACTGAGATTAGATCAAGTGATTTAATTGTAAGGAACCTGAGAAAATTAACTCTTTCACTTTCTACCTACCTACAGAAAGTATGGAAATATACCTTTGCACAATTAGTCTTGGGGAAAATGGCAGGAGGGAAGAGTCATGTCTTATCCAAAGGCCACTATGATTTTAAAAATTCTTTTTATGATATGTTGAATTTTAACAGATTTATCTAATACTTTATACAACCTGCAATATTTAAATCAAATCAGTGAATTTAAAGCTTTTCTGCTGCCTTTTGATTCTATACTCTACCTTTGTTTCTCAATTCCTTTGTAATGTAAAGACATGTGTTTCATGTCACTCTACTCCAGAGAGAGTTTTATAACAATGAATACTGTAAAGTTTATAACATCCTATAAAAATGCATTAAGCCTCTTGTATATTACTTGCAAGCCTGATGCAAAACTTCCCCAGAGATCCTGAAGAATGGGAGGATGGGTGTTATGGTTTGTGTCTGTGTGTCCCCCCAAAGCCTCATGTGGCCATGGGGCAGGCTTTTAGAGTTTGATTGATTATGGGTGTGAGAGCCACACCCACCCTGGGGTGGATAGTTTGCATATGTAAGGGAGAGGAAGAGGCTGCTTGAGGCCATTCCGCCCTTATGGGTGCTTGTTGATTCGGCTGAGAGCTGTAGCCCTCTGCCATGTGCCACTCTGCCTTGTAACTTGCCAAGTACAGACTGAAACCTCCACAAACTGTAAGCAAAATAAACCTTTCCTTCCTTAATTTTGGGTGTCAGGTATTTTGTCCCAGCAACGAGAGGAAAGTAACCAAGACAATGGGTGGTTAAGCTGATTAAAGCTGTGAGATAGGACCATTAGCCTGGTTGCTGTATAGAGGGGATTCCAGGTGGGGAGAGGAGGAGGAAGGAGGACCAGCCAGACGAGAAATAACCTTAAAAGGACATCTATTGGGAAAAGAATGATTTAACTGTCTACATGGGAACTTCTGTGTCAGCCTCACTAATGAAAAAAGCTTAAAACACTGGAAGTATTGAAAAGTTTGGGTTATTTTGTTTGTTTGTTTCGCTTTTGAGACAGGGTCTTGTTATGTAGTTCAGGTTGGCCTCAAACTTATGAACAGCCCTCCTGCCTCACCCTTCTGAGTGCTGGGACAACAGGTGTGTGCCACCACACCCGGTTGAAAAGTTCATAATTTTACATGCAACTTTTACAAGATTTAGAATAAAGATGAAAAAAATTAAACCTATCGGACTGCTCTAGCAACTGAGTATCTAGATGGAAAAAAAATAAATGTTTATCCCTTAATTCACACCACACAAAAGAATTAATCGGGATGTAAAACTAATCTGAGATACAATGTGAAAACTGAAATTCTAAAAGGTGCTGGAAGAGAAGACTGTCTTTATGGCCTTAGGGTAAAACAGGATTTCCTAAACCAGGTGCAAAAGGCATTGACCATAAAATAACTTCATATACTATTTTGAACTATCTGGCAACATACACATCTGACAAAACACTTATATCTATTATATGTAGAGAACATTGACAACTCAAATACAAAAAAATAGCCCAATAAGAAATGGACAAAGAACCTGCACACACACTTCACAAAAGGTGAGAACTAGATTGCTAGTCAATGTATGAGAAACGTATGAAAAAGTGCTCGGAATCAAAAATCATTGGAGATCCAGAATTAAGCTAGAAAGAGACACTACAACACATCCACTTGAGTAGGTAAAATTATTTTTAAAAATAACTATCAACCTGTAGGTGAGAATGGAAGCAGCTAAAACTCTGCTCTATCAGTGCTCAGAATTTAACTTGGGATAACTACCTTGAGATATGGTTTGGATTGGTAGTTTTCAATAAAATTTAACATATATGTAACCCATGACCCTGCAATTTCCTTTCTATGTGCATATCCAAGAGAAATGAGGGCATATAGCCATGAAAGTTTTGCATAAATATGTCTGTAACTGGAAACTATTATATATCCATTGATTGGTTAAAAAAAAGATAAACACTTTCCAATGAACTAATTCCACAGATCAATAAAGAGAAGCAAACTACTGACATATGTGATGAAATGTATGAATCTCAAAATTACTATGTTGAGCAAAAAAGCCAGATAAAAAGGGTATACATCATTTGATTCTATTTGTATGAAATTCAAGAACCAGCAAAACTAATCTGTTGTGACAGAAGTCTTATCAAATGAGAAAAGCACAAGGGACCTTCTGGGATGATGGGCACATTATTTTGCACCAGGCATAGACACACTGGTATAGCAACTGCTCCATGACCTAGCTGTTTAAGGTCAAGCATTTGCACATGCGTATATTTATATGTAAAGTGGACCTTAATTTTTCATGGTAATATAGAACTGTGAAGTTAGTAAAGATCTTGGTGAGGATCTGTGTTATGGTTTGTGTCTAGATGCCCCCACAAAGTTTCATGAAGTCATGGGGCGGGCTTCTAGTGTTTATGGCTGATTCATTGTCCAATGCTGGTATTATGGGTATGAGTGCTACGCCTGCCCTGCATATAATATAAAAGAGGGAAACATCCTTGTTCTTTCTGCTCCTACCCTTTTGCTCTTGATGCTTTTGCTGTTTTTCCACTGCCATGAACTGCTGCCCTCTGCCATATGCCATTCTGCCTTGGAGCCAGCCAAGTATGGACTGAAACCTCCACAGACTGTGAGCCAGATAAACCTTTCCTTCCTTAATTTTGGGTGTCAGGTATTTTGTGCCAGCAATGAGAGAAAAGTAACCAAGACAATCTGGTTCCCCCATTAATGTCCACAGATAAGGAAACTCCAAAATCATACAGAGAAGGTGGTGTCCTTAACTATGACAACCCAGGTCCTTCCACATACTCTTTGCTTTCTAGTTTTAAGACAAACCTTAGGAATCTTTTCTTTTTATGAGTTTACTATAATTTTCTTAATTGCAGCATTGTAGGCATTTAATTTGGTATTCTCTTCAACACACTACATCCACTGTAAGACCTTTTTCTTCCTTTTCTTAAACTGGAAGAAAAAAACAAGCCTGTGAGCTCCGGCCACCCCTATGTCACCTACCATCGTTGATAACCCCTAGAGAAGTTCCGAGGGTTTAGCAAACTTCCTACTGGGTGTCTTTCTATCCTGAAGGAAAACAAAGAAAAGGTAGTAAGAAAAGAAAAGGGGATGTTGAACTTGCTGCACAAGTGTCAGTTTCTTTCTTTCTTTCTTTCTTTTAACTTAAAAAAGTTTATCTGAGCAAGAAAAGGTTCTAGAATTGGGCCACTGGACTAAAGATGGTTCAGAATGCACACCCCACCCCCCAAGAATCAGATTTGATGGGACTCTGTTGCAGGCACAAATAGTCATATCAGAGGAACAGAAAAGGGTAAGCATCTGAAGACTGAGATTACCTTGGGAGTTTGGGTGATTTGCTTGCTCTGGAAATTTTGGGAGATTTCTTGGCAGCCCAGTCATCACTCAGTTCAATGTCACTGGAGTCGGAGCAATTGCAGCTGTCGATTACAGTGGAAATCAGGCTGTTTCCATAGATCTCATCTGTAAGACACCAACCAACAAGCTTAAGGGAAGTTAAGTCAATTAGACGCTATCAATAATCACTGTTATAAACTAAAATACTCTACAACCCATCATTTCAGAAAAGAGCTTAGCAATGTTTTTAGTTTTTACATTGTTATGCTATTTCTAAGCAGAACTAGGCAACTTCTTATATTGCTGTCAAAATGGCATGGTATTTTAATACCTCTAGGGATATATAAAACAATCTTAAACTACTTACTGTACTGAAAGCTGAAATTAAAATGGCTATCCACAGGGCTTGTATGGACTTTTGTGCAGCCCAGAAACCTAGATTGTGTGAGGGCTCACTGACTTACTCTCTGGAAATCTGCTTGTGATCTGGGAAGGCTCTTGTTGGTTGAGGCCTGCTGGGACTACTCTTTTGACAGAGCTTAGTCTGTGCTGAGGTCTTCTGGCTCTTTGTGTCTGCAGCAGGAGGCAGTCTGCTGGAACTGACGGAGGCTGTCAGCGGAGGCCTTCCTATTCCAGATGGTACAGCTGCCTGTTTGTTGGGGTCATGGCTAAATGTGAGACCTTGCATAGAGGGGACTTTCAGGGATAGTTCTAGGTTGATCTGTGGGTACCTTGGATGGAAGCCACTCATAGCTTGGCCAATTGGCCACCCACAAGAAAATCAGAAAACTCAAGGCAAAAGATAACACAACTGAAAAGTTACAGAGCTTACAATTTTTGAAGCTGCTTCTCCTTACCACAACCTCCCAGTTCCTCCCAAGCTGGACCCGTCAAAGTAAGAACCCCCTCTTTGTTAACTGTAACTATTCCCTAAGGTTCTAAGAGACTTGACAGGAAATAAAAAAGCTGAATCACTCAGTCACACCAAAATAAGTGAGTGATTTTACCATTCAAAGCAACTGCTTACTTCTCAGAAGATGTTAATTCAAACCCATCTCTGAGTTTCTGAATATGTGGAGGTGACATCTGTGGATAGGGGCATCTATGAGGCACAACAGGTTGGCCTGCTACTTGAAAAAAGGTTAGTCCCCAGTCTGTATCACTCCCTTCTTAAAATACTGAATCAGAAGGCATGGCCCTTGTATCCAGCCAATTATGGTGCTGTGAGTCTGAGTTTAATCACATAAAATGGCTTAATTTATGTGTCTGAGCAGTACTTTATGTTATTTAAGGTATAACTGATTCCTTTGGTCACTGGACCAAAGGAAGCTCAGCTATGATTCACTAATGCAAGCCCACAGAATGCTTCTATGTATTCATTAATAGACCCCAAAAGTTTAAATATAAATCATGCATTGTCCACTAACCACCAACTTCCTTGTCCACACAGAATAACACAGATGCTTTGTCTCATGCCACTTGTTTTTTCTCCTTTACTCATAATTACTTTTTAATTGCCTGTCTTCCCAACCAGAGGGTAAGAGCCATCTGCCTTGTTTCCTCTGCACCCCCAGGGACTAGAAGAATCCTTGGACCTGGATGAAGACTACCTGAGGGTTGCATGAGAACAGGGAAGCTGCCTTCTGAATATACATCTGAGTTCTGCTTGTTCAGAGTTATATCTGCGCATGGGCAGGCACAGTACAGCAGTCATCTGCCCTCACCATAATGAAACATTTCTACATTCCATTAGAGCAACACTCAAGGAGGCCAGGTTGGTGGCGGTATATTTCTCACACTTCTAGAGATCAGTGTCATCAATTTATCATGGATGTTCTGGAACAAACATCCAAGGTATAGAAAAACAAACTGCGACTGGTTTCTGGGCACTAAGACAACTATAATATTGGGCTTCATGTTCCAATTTTGAAGTCTTTCCAGTCAGGTGCTTGTGCCGCTGAGCTGTACCCACAGCCCTCTTTGAAGGCTTTCCAAATATGCAACCTGAATTAGGTTTTGCTTTTGTAATGGTGATGAATACAGGGCCTTTACGTTGAGCTATACCCACAGCCCTTTCTTTGGGCCACAGTGTCACTAACTTGCTAAGTTGCCCAGGCTGGGCTCAAATTGGGATTGTCCTGCCTCAGTCTCACTGAGTGCTAGAATTACAAGCATGTGCCACCATGCCTGGCTTGAAAAGCTACTTTAGTGGCTTTTTAATATATGCTCTGTCTTAGTCTGCTTAGGCTCCCATAACCAAGTAAAATAAACTGGGTGGGCTTCAACAACAAAAATTTATTATCTCACAGTTTCAGAGGCTACAAGTCCTGGACTAGTATACCCACATGGCAGGATTATAGTGAAAACTCTTGCCAGTTTATAGATGGGATGTCTTTGCGTTGTGCTCAGATGGCCTTTCTTTGGAACAGAACATGGACAGAGATATCTCTATTCCAGGTTCTTCTAAGGCTACATTCTTAACACCTCATTAAACCTTAATTACCCTCTAAAAAGACTTATCTCCAAATATAGTAACATGGAGGGTGTTGTGGATTGACAACTGGTGGTCAGCTTGTAACACCTAGCTGAACTGAACCAGCGTGGTGCTGGGTGTGGGAGGCCCACCTGCTGCTATTGCCAGCAGTGTAAGAGGCAGAACTGGAGAAGAAAAAGAGGCTGTTGGGAGCTGTTGGTTCTCTTGGAGGAGCATGTCATGCTGGCTTTCCTGATGAACTATGGAGGGGAAGATGGTGCACTATTCAGTCTCCCGGAGAAGCTTGTTGAGCTGGCTTTCCGGATATAGACTTGGCTGTTCTCAGCCTCGGAGGAGCTCAGGACCTTATTGTCACCGAGGATGGCTATGGTACCTTTCAAGGGAGCTCTGGTTCTTACTTTAGCATTGCTTCTGGCTCCAGTACAGATCCCTCAGCCTGCTGGCACAGATCCTTCATCCCCCTGGCACAGAACTCGCTAGCTCCCACCACTGACCTCTGGGTCTTCCCAGCACAGATCTGTGAGACAGGCCTGCACGAGACATTGTCATGGGCTCTTGGCCTCCAGTTGGACTCCTTGGGGGGATTATTGTTATGGGCTCTAGCTCTTCAGGAGGACTGATGCAGGACACTGCTGTGGGATCCAAGCCCTCAGCTAGATTCTTTTGGTCTTAGTGTATGGACAGATTTCCTGCACTCTCTTTGTATATGACTCTTTGGGTGACTATTATAAAATAATTCTTATAAATTAGGTGTTCTATATTGCATTCTTCCCCTTGTAAACCCTGACTACAACAGAGCGTTAGGACTTCAACAAAGGAATTTTTTTGGGGGGCTACTGCAAGTTAGCCCACAGCATTCTGCCTCTAGCATCTCCCAAAGTCATGTCTTTCTCCATACAAAATACATTCAATCCCTCCCAACAGCCTAAGTTAAAGTCTTAACTCATCCTCACATGAACTCTAAAGTCTAGAGTTTCATCTAAATATCTAAATCAAATATAGGTGAAACTGGAGATATGATTCATCTTAAGGCAAAACTGCTTTCCAGTTGTGAACCTAAGACACCAGACAAATTATGTGCTATCAAAATAGGATAGAGGGCCAGAAATAGGGTAGACATTCCCATTCCAAAGTAAGGAAGGTGGTAAGTCCCAAACAAGTTCAAAGCCCAGCAAGACAAATTCCACTAGATCTTAAAGCTTGAGAATAATTCTCTTTAACTGGATACTCTACTCCTCAGACCCACTGGGTTCAGCATCATTCTCCTAGCTCTAAGCGCCTCTGCCTCCAAGGCTCTGGGCAGAGGCCATTCCGCTGCTCAAAACTGAAAACAGGAACTGTGAATTCTTGTGAAAACAGGCATGTCTGAATCTCTTTTGATACATTTTCCCCTCCTGAAGAATAGAGCAACATGGCAGTCAAATATTTTTATCAACCTAATCTGTCAAATCCACGAAGTCCCTCTGCCTTCCTTAATTTCATTCCATTTTCATTCCTTTCAGTTCAAAGTGGAAGTAGTTTTGTTTGTACAGTCTCATAAACTATCAAATGATAGCTCAGCCACATCTTTGGTACTGTCTTCAGAATAGGCTTTCTCATTTTTTGCAAGGATAGGCTGAGAATTTGCAAAATCTTTTAAGTTCTGAATCTTTTTAGCTTAACAGTTTCCTTCTTCAGTTCATCCCTTTCCTCTTCCATGTTACTGTAAGTAGTCAGAAGGAACCAAACTACTCCTTCTGCACTTTGCTTAGAAATTTTCTCAGTTAAATATCCAATTTTATCACTTGAAAGATACCTTTTGCACAGCACTAGAACACAGTTCAGCCAAATTCTAACTTTATAATAATGATTGCCTTTCCTTCAGCTTTAAATAACATGGTCAGTTCCACCCGAGACCTCACTAGAACTGCCATTAAAATTGTACTTCTAGCATGCAATTCAAAACTCATCCAGCCTCTACCCATTACCCAGTTCCAAAGCTTCTTTCATCTGTTTCAGTACTTGTTAAAGCAACACATACTTCTCAGCACCAAAATCTGCATCCATCTATAGCATTAGTTTTGTTTCTCTGAAGAACCCTGATGTGTGTGTAAGTGTATACATGTACATATAAAGAGACTTATGGAGGCTGAGGAGATTCAAGATGGAAGTGTCATCATGGTTAGTTCTTGAGGCAGGCTCTTCTTGACCTGAGATAGCTGCCTTTCCTTTGTACCCGTGTCTGGAAAGAGAGCCTTCTCTTCCTTAGAAGGTTAATAGAGACTTCTGGGAAGACGGTGGAGTAGTAAGCAGCAGAGAAAGCCTCTCTGAAATTTGTTGTCTAGACGCTGGAATATAGCAACATGAGGAAGAGAAGGAGGAGGAAATTGGGTCCCCAAGACCCAGGAAGGATCCGAAGCAATAATTGAAACCCACGGGGGAAGAGCAAAGACAGAAACTTCAGTGATGAAGATGGAGGTGGTAAGAGGCCCGGACTCCCTGTGTGGGAGGGGCAGCTTGAACCTGCAGATGCAAATTGACTACTGGTGACCCAAGAGGCCTCCAGGGAGAAACACACCAGTGGAATGGTGCAGTGGACACAGCAGACTGCAGTGACTGGTGAGTTATTTGGTTCTGATGTACCGCAGGAGAG